TTTTAAAATATGGTTGTGATAGAGAGGAAGAAGGGTAAGAATGGAAGAGCTGGAAATAAAAAGGAATGGAGCTTAGGGGCATCATTTTTGGCTGTGGGTGAAAGAGTAAAACCAGCCACAGTGCCTGAAACACAAGCTACACAGCTGGAGAATGTGACAACAACGCTACATGCTGACATGCATTTAGCTCTGCAATGCCAGTGCCTTCTGGGAACTCTGCCCTGCTCTAACTCAGGGACATTCTGAGCATCTCTTTTGGTTGGGAAGGACCATTTGACATCCTTTTGCAGGTGCAGACAGTGAGGTTCAAGGCAGCTAAGCAGGTGCTGAGTCCTACAGGTGCACAGGGGTGAGCCAGGCTCTGAGAACAACTCTGTCTGTCCAAAGTGAGAGGACCTTTCCTTCACACCAAGAACTCTTGCCACTTTTTCCTGCTTCTGGAACCTCCAATGGCTCTAGTCCAAGCGTCCTCAAAATTAAAGTCCAAGACTAGACTCACCCTGGGTTCCAGAGTCCAAAGGAGTGGCTTTGCAGAATTCACAGTGAGTCCAGGTGCACCCCAGATGCCAGTGAGCTTTGTGCAGGGCTCAGTGTTCATGCCCACCATGCATGCCCCTGTGCCAGGAGATTTGCAATAAGCTGGGGAAGCAGATTCTGAGTCAAGGACATGAAAATCGGGGCCTCCAATGAGGCCTTCATTCCACTGCCTTTGACACACACTTCAAACACAAACCAAGGTATCATTTTCAAATCACTCATGAAGATTGTATGATATAATTTGATCTTAGTACATGGACATTTGCTATAGATGTGTATTGGGTGCTCATACCTGCACAGAGTTGCATGAGCCTCTAGATGGGTATCTCTGGGAATTCACAGGAGCCTGTGGGCACCAATGCTCTTCCTCTTCCCAGAGGCCTCTCTTCCTGGACCATCACTGGGAGTTGAACCCAATGCAAGAGCTGTTATCAAAGTGGGGTCCAGCACCCTAGCCTGAGATACTTCTGTGGGAGACACAGTTCCCTGGTCCCTCAAATGTGGGGTATTTATCCATAAGAGCTTATATGCTATAAGAGGGAGGACTAGAGCAAAATAGAGCACCAATCCATCTGGTTAGTACCTGTCCATGCTGTTTGTCGACATTAATTGCAATATGTGTGACTTTGACTCTTTCATTGCAAATATCCAAATGAATCAACTCTACAACATGAATTCTGATATGTTGTCTGTCCTTAATTTGAAGCTGGTTGCTCTTATGGTTGCTACTGATCAAGGCCTCCGGTCAGTAATGGGCCCCTCTGCAGACTAATGAAGAGAAGGCGTGAGGCACCCCACCCAGCTCCCCTTCCTGCTCTTGAACGCAGGGGTGGAGGTGGAGAAGAAATCAGACTGACTTTAAGAATCTCTTCATGTCAGTACACTTATTTCTTCTTTACATTTATTCTGTTTTTACCCTAGCCTCTGACATTCCCTCCATCTCAGGAGAGTTCTCCTCTCATCTCATAGCCCTTGGAGTGTTGGGGGAAATTACTGACTGCAAGTGTTTATAGGAACAAGCTAATAATGACTGGCATGGCTCAGAATTAGGAAATTATTATTTATTCTTATTTTTATGTCAACATAAATATTTGTGTATGATCAATAAAAATGTTATCCTTATAACAAGACAAATTTGGAAACACTGTTTATATCACCAAAGCTGTGACTGGAATGGCATCCTTGCACGTAGAATTAGGCACCTAGACTATAGTTTAAGGAACTGAGTTGACTTTATGGAGCCCAGTTCCTGGCTAACAGGCACCCCAACTTATAGGTTCAGCACTTCCAGGCAGGCCAGGCCCCTGGGGGTATGGTGGGACCTCAGACATTCTCTCTGTCATTTCAGTCTTTCCCAACAAAAATCTGCTGTCAGTGTCTTGCCTCTTATCCTCGGGAGCAATTTATCATACTGACTGACTTTGTTGTTTCAGTGAGAGGTGACCTTGACGCAGACAACATATGTGGCTATGGGACTGCTCGCTGCCGGAGGAAGTGTAAGAGACAGGAATTCAAAATTGGAGTCTGCCCCAACATTAACCCATGCTGTCTGAAAGGACGGATGACACCTCATTGAATCCTGTGAAATACCCAAGCCCACTGGGGCCTGGTCCCTAGACATGCCAACGGCCGAACCTCAGAGCCTCCCCTTTATGAGAGCAGACAGCCAGAAAATCCAGGGGCAGCCCCTGAACTGGGTATGACAGGAGGGTTTGCTGAGAGGCAGAGCAGGGGCAGCAGAGTTGGGGCAGAAAAGCAGCAGAAGACAGGGCCTTGGCCTCCGGGCCCTTATGGCCCTTCTCTCTGTGAAAGGAAGTGTAGCAATGTAGGTAAACTGAGTCTCAGCACTGTAAAGCCTAAGTATCATATATCCAATCAGCCATAGCCTCAGTGAGCATCCTGTGTTTTGTTTTTGGCCTGAGTTATAGCAAATGATCTTGATAACAATGTTGTTGTTCTTCTGATCAGCAGTTTTGCTCAACAGTCATGCATGTCTTTTGTTCTTTATTTTGGAAAATAAATCAACATTAAAGGCAATTTGTTTGTTATACACTTAATGCAAAACATCAACTTCTGAGGAGGAAAAAAATGAATGATGAGAAGGATGCAAATCAAAAAGTTGAACCAAGTGCATGTCTATGAGCATCACAGCCAACAGGTGGCAGCGGAAAGCACGTGCCCTGGGAAATGTTAGGGGGTTGCATCCACTCACTGTCCCTAAGAAAAGGGAGTAATAGAACTTTTCCCTTGGATTTCCTGTCCAAACTGTGTCATGGTAACCAAAAGATTTATGATGAAAAGCTTCTCTCTGCAAAAGTAGCCCAGCTGGTGAATGAAGTAAGGATAGAATGAGAATGTTACTATTTTGCAAACACCAAGGGGACTAATGATCTAGCCCAGTGGTCAGCAAACCATGGCTCTAAAGATGCATGAGGCTCTTTGGCCCCTTGAGTGTGGCTCTTCCACAAAATAACACGTGTGGGCACGCATGTATAGTGCAATTGAAATTTTGTGGCCCATGTGCAGAAGTTGGTTTTAGGCTCTCAAGAAATTTCAATCATTGTACTCTTGATATTTGGTTCTGTTGACTGAGTTTGCCAACCACTGATCTAGCCCGTAAATGTCAGTGGCCACTACAGTGAACAAGAACCACACCTGGTACTGTGTGCCTCCTAATAAACTGAAACACTGCCACCTGTTAAGCCCACCAGTGTTTCCTGGGCCAAATAGGGTGAATCAGCACATCTCCCTGGAGCCACCTCATCCACCCAGCTTCATCCCTGGACAAGCCCCCTCCTAGATTATTTCCAAGAACACTCAAGATGCCTTATCACTTCCTCAGAAAATAGTCCGGAATATATAACCCAGAGAAAAATTTAATCACAGTGCTATTTCCACACCTGGAAAACACTAGCACTCACTTCACAATATAACTCAACAGCAGTGATTGTTCAAATGCTCTCATGTTTTGTAAGAACTATCAGTAGGTTTCTGAGAATTAGGACCCTAAAGGCCTACATTGGCCGTGTGTTTGAAATAGCCCCTCCCCCTCAAGTATAATTTACATAGCCATGTTCATAATGACATCTCTTCTCAGCCCGGACAAAGTCACACTATTTTACAAAGTTGCACTCTTTCGATTCCATGGCTTAATAGCAAAAGAACAAAGGGCAGATTGTTCTACTTTATTGTTTCCAGAATTAGCAAGACATAGTTGACACACTGAAAATACATTGGGGAACTCAACAGCATTGCTGTCTCTTCTTTCTCTGAAGGGTGGGATGGATCTGAAGGCTGCAGTTTGAAATGGAAGACCAATAGGCCTTTAAAATTAGCCTCATGAAAATCAATAGAAAGAAGAATGAAGTTTGGACATTTTCCAATTTTGAATTATTTAGAGGAGAGAGGGAGAGGGAGAGGGAGAGGGGGAGGAAGAGGGAGAGGGAGAGGAGAAGTAGAGGGGGAGGGGGAGGGGGAGGGGAAGGGGGAGGGAGATCTGCACCAAGGTCCTTCCTGGGAAGAGGAACCAGGCAGGGATGAGAAAGTCAGCACCTCCTCTTCCTGGCCTTCAGGTGGAGCTCATGACCTCCTGGAAAACGCAAGTGTGAGATGCAGGGACACTACTTCAAGCATCCTCCTTGGCCACACAGCCTCTGCCATCTTAATCCTCCTTTCCTTGGTTCAAATTACATGAGATCTCACAGAGATTAGAGGAGAACCATGCTATGCATTAGGTGCATGGACAACATCCTAGAAGCAAGGATGAGCTATTCTGCAAGGGTCCTGCTGCCCTCCCCATCAGGATGAACGTAGATTTGGGCAGGGAAAGGGCTTGGTTGTTTTTCTGGGACACAGAGTGTTGGTGGACGAGAACCGGGGCTCAGAACATTGTTCCTTTAGGGCAGATGTGACGCCAGCTTCCTCCTAACAATCTCCTGGGCATTACCCATCAAAACACAAAACCGGCTCCTTGTGGGCGGGTCGTTCTTTTCAGAAATGTCTGGGAAGCTTGTTTTCCCTTTATATCCAGACAGGACATGAGAGGTGACTATTTGGGGCTCAATTTCTTTATCTCATTAGATCAAATGATTTTAATGAATCAGAACAACCCTTTAGCTGAGTGTGCTTATGAAAACACTATATATATATATATATATATATATATATATATATATATATATATATATATATTTAAACATTACATTTTTATTGATTTCAGAGAGGAAGGGAGAGGGAGAGAGAAAGAGAGACAGAGAGAGAAACATCAATGATGAGAGAGAATCACTGATTGGCTGCCTCCAACACGTCCCCTACTGGGGATTAAGCCTGCAACCCAGGCATGTACCCTTGGCAGGAATCACACCTGGGACCCTTCAGCCTGTAGGGCAATGCTCTATCTACTGTGCCAAACCAGCAAGGGCCCTACTTTTTCTTAAACACAGCCCACACAAGGTATTCAGGCATGGTATTTACTTCCTGAGAAGATGGCTTAGTGTTCTTCCAGCCAGCAGGGAAGGACAATGTGCCCCCATGAGTCCTCTGTGACCGGGACATTACTCTGGAACGCAGCTCTTCTCGGGTACAGGCCATTCCCTCCAGTCAGCAATAAAGGGCTCCACTGCCTGCCAGCTCACAAAGCCTTGTGGCTCACTGTCCCACGGCCACATGGAACAACTCCTCTGGCCACGGGCCCTACTCCTGGTGGCCCTGCTGTTTCCAGGTAAACGAAAGCTGTTACCTGGGCCAGGGGGCCAGGGTCTCCTCCCAGACACTCAGGAATGGGCATTCAGGCTGAGTGGGGACACCCCAAGCCCTGGGGGCCCATTTTCTGGTGGGGATTTTAGATGACCGTCTCCTGGCTGGTGTCCCACTGTCACTGGCTGTACCGATGGCCCTGGCTTCCCAGGAGGGAGGCTCCAACCACAATTCCTCTGTCTTCCTTCACCCATGTCTTCCCCTCACAGAAGAAGACTGTCTCTCTTCTGTGTCTGGGAGAACCTTACACTCTAGGGGTCGGCTGAAGAGACCTAACACCCTCTGCTGTGTCCACACAGGGCTGTGTGAGGCCAGGCATGAAAGCCAGGGAGGCACCGAGGGCATCAGGGCACCAAGGGATGAAGCCCTCAGACCTGGAACCAATGATTCTCGGGGGCTTCACCACCCAGGAAAGCGCTACCTTGTGCCACTCACCCCCCGGGTGGTGGGTAAGTAAGCCTCCTGCACCCAGTTCACCTGTCCCATCTTTATGTCTCTTGAGGTCACTGTGGCAACCCTGTGTGTGGGAGGTTCTGTGAGTAATAATGTTATCCATACACAGCTCTTCGCGCTGGCTGTTATAAATGTTTGGGTATATAGTTTCAGTTATGCAAGATGAATAGATTCCAGAGGTTGGCTTACATCATGGACTTCCAAGTTAACAATGTGGTGTTTCCCATTTATGAAGACTGGTTAAGATGGTAGGTCTTATATTGAGTGGTCAAATCGCAAGGAAGGAAAAAAAAAAAAGCTAAAGGACAAAAGGAAACTTTGGGAGGTGATGTTCCTGTATCACCTGGATTGTGGATGGTATTGTGGAGGTATGGGCATCACATTTAGGGTTTTGTATTATTAAAAAAAAAAAAAAAAAAAAAAAAAAAAAAAAAGAGTGCTGATAAGAAAACAAAGTGACGAGAAAATAGTTTTAATTGATTGACCAGTTGATTCTTTGGTCCAGCCAAATAATTATACTGCATCTGGTGAAAGAAGTTAGGACAGGAAGAGGGTAACTCCCCTTCACCTTGGATGGTTGTGAAGGTCAAATCCCAAATTGGTGATGGAGATTCTGATGCAATGGGGGCACCCTTAGGGTACAGTCTTCCCCACAGACATGTACCTTGATCTCTGATTCTGGGCCTCTGCTTTCATTGTGTTCATCTATATTTTTAACACTTTCCCCTTGCTCTTACCTATCAGTTATCTAAATATGCCATTGATGAGAAAAAAAACTTATATTTAATAACTTCAGTTCTTGAACTATGGAGTGAAATATCAAGTTCACATTACTCAATTCACTTGGCACATGTTCAAGAAACCAAATGGTCTCCCAAGCACTCCCTCATAATGAGGGGAAATTTTTTCCAGTTATTTAACACTCTACCTGATGTCTCCCCTGTTCACCTGGCCTAGCCTAGATTTCCCACCTCCCGCACATGGAAGGCTCAGTCCCCCTCCCAGGGGACCAATGCATCTGTACACGTTTGATGGGGCTGTACCACTTCCCAGTTTGCCTCAGAGATCCTTATCTGTTCCCTTGCACAACCTTATAAGTCAAGGGAGTCACATTTACTCTGTAACACATCCATCACCATTAGTCTGCCTCTGATTTGGCTGTTCATTTTCCAGGGATCAGGAAGGTGGCATATAAGCTCAAATCAAGGATCTGCCTTTTCTACTCTCAGAATGGTTGCATGGAAATGTGGGAGAGTATATGCAAAAGACATCTCTTTCCTATCCATCACCATAGTCCTTGGGGCTAAAGTTATTTTTGAGATGGTCTTAAAAGACTAATGTTGGATATTTCTTTATACAGACTATGGATCAGGTTTCAAAGTTGTCAACTGCAGGAAAAGCGAAGGGCTTTGTCAAGAATATTGTAATTATATGGAAATACAACTGGGCTACTGCTCTAAAAGAAAGGATGCCTGCTGTTTACCTCAGAACTGAGGCTGCTGACACAGAAGCCAGAGGGTGGTCCACCTGCTGTCCTCATGGGCCATGGAAAAGACCCAGGTGCAAGTTGTCTGGGGAAGGATCTGAGCAGAGAGGAGCTGAGCATTGTCACCTGGGCCAGGAAGTCTAAATATATTATTGTAGAAAAAAAAAAGATAAAAATGGGCTACACATAATCTTATAGACATGATCTTAGAGAAAGTGACTTGGCTAGATATAAATAAAATCACACAATTTTTGGTAGTGATGTGGATGTAATAAACTTTATAGTCAAAGCATTCAAGGAATTCTTTCTTTTATATTAAAAATATGTTTTGAGGGTCTACCTTTGTTTTACTCACTGACAAATATAATGAGTTGAGAACAAGAATATGTGGGGAGAAAAGCACTACCTAATTGAAACAATGAAATGCTACATATTCTACCATGTGTATCTATCCCAGGTGATGTGTGGAGAAGATCAGTAGAAAAACGTTAAGAAAAGTTCTTGGAGAAATGTGAGTGGGTTCTGGAAGATGATCAGGAGTTTATTGAGTGAAAGAGAGAGGCTGGTGTTTCCAGGCAACAGGTAAAGCTTATAGAAAGGTGTAGAGACATGAAGCACGGTTTGCTAAAGAAATGCAAAAAGAGAGAATAATTACAAGGATTAGATGAAGCTGGTATAGGAATACTTTATCCTTAGCAAAAGTATTATGGTAAAGACCTTGGACTATTAAACAAGAGAAGGTTGCCAGGTGTTCTGAGGCAGTGACATCAACATGGTCTCCAGTTAAGAATGCTTATCCTGACAAAAGAATGAATGTGGACTAGAAATGTGTGAGACTAGAGGCAGGAACAGAGATAAGAGATTAGAGCATTGGGTGGAGCTTGCAATTCATGACTGAGAGGACACAGTGACTGTGAAGAAGGAACAGTGGGGTGAGGGATAACTGAAGAGACTGACCTCACAGGTTTTGTGACAGAGGAGGAAGGACATTGGGTGGGAAAAGTTTTGTCAACCGAGGCAGCACACAGAGGAAGAGGGAAGAGGGAGGAGCAGGGGATAGACTAGATTGGCTCTGGACGCATTCAATTTGAAAACCTGAGATTTTGGATTCCAGGAGAGAGGAAGAGATAAGAAGTAAAAGAGTTAAAGTATTTTACTTAGTCTAGCTGGTGTGTCTCAGTGGTTGAGCATTCACTTACGAACCAAGAGGTCACAGTCCGATTCGTGGTCAGGGCACATGAGAGGGTTTTCGGCTCCATCCCCAGTAGGAGGCATGCAAGAGACAGCTAATCAATGATTCTCTCTCATCATTGATGTTTCTCTCTCTCCCTCTCCCTTCCCCTCTGAAATCACTAAAAATATAGGTACTTTAAAATGTCATTTACTTATAGTTGGAAACGAAATCTTAAAAAAGTCTTAAAATTTATCTGTCACCCAGGGATAGGTTTCTGTGTGAGGGACAATAGTGAAGAATGCTAAGTGAGGCACAAGAATGAGGAGTTTTGGAGGGAGATGAAGAGGGCTCTGAAAGGGGAGGAAGGAGAAAGCTCAATGGCATGGAAGTCAGTCCAGGAAAGAAAGTGGTGTCTGAGACAACAGAGAAGATCTGGAGAAAAATGAAGATTACCATCTTACTCCACTGCGCTTCAGGGGACCTTAGTCCTAGGTCAAGGTCTATCAGGAATGTAGCCTTGGATAGTAAGCCTTAGGAAGTCAGTATTTCCTTCTAAGTGATAAGAACAAAATGTACTAAAGGAAGTTTTTTGTTTGTTTGTTTGTTTGTTTGTTTGTTTGTTTGTTTTGGGGACTAGTGTGCATATAAGGGAATGCTTTGAAAGAAAGAATAAAGCTGTGATGATTGATAAGGAGATGGATAAAACTAGAGTCCTCTCCAAAAAAACATATCTAAGTAGGTCATCATTCTCCTAAGTCTGTGGTATCCCTATTATCACTCCCTCACTCATTTACTCACACATTCATTCATTTATTTTTTCACTCACTTGTTCTTACAAAAAACATGGAGTAAGCATGCACAGTGCTCCAGGTACTGTTCTAGGTTCAGTAAGTCCAGTAATAACAAAATCCTCCACATTCATATAGCTCAAATTCAAATTTGGGAGACAAACAATAAGCAAGATATGTCAATAAAATATAATAGATTAGAAAGTGATCAATGATAAGGAAAAAATATTGGACAGGGAATGATAATTGTGAGGCAGAGGGTGACATTCTGGAGGGAAAAAATGTCTCACTGAAAGGTAGACTGGGAGTGAAAGGGGCTGAGAGGTGGGCCCTCTGGGGTCTGTGTTTGGTGGGCAGTGGGCATCCCAGCAAGAAGATACATGGCCACTGCCCAGGAAGGAGCATGTGGAATACTTGAGGAATGGCAACAGGGGGTCAGTGTGGCTGTAGCAAAGGGAATGGGGACTGGGGAAAGGGGCGAGGACATTCTACCCTAGATTTAAGTTTCATCAAGAAAGTCATAAATTTCTCCAAAACCGGTTTGACTCAATGGATAGAGCGTCTGCCTGCGGACTGAAAGGTCCCAGGTTCGATTCCAGTCAGGGGCATGTACCTTGGTTGCTGGCACATCCCCAATGGGGAGTGTGCAGGAGGCAGCTGATCGGTGTTTCTCTCTCATCGATGTTTCTAACCCTCTACCCTTCTCTCTTCCTCTCTGTGAAAAATCAATTATATATATATATATATATATATATATATATATATATATATATATATATGAAAGTCATAAATTTAAAAGAAGAAAGAACTTTTGGGGCATTAAGATTATGAAACAGTAACACTGTTACCCAGAGAGATTTCGGATACTACTTTAGGATTCATAGGAAAGAAATAAAATCTGTTTCTTTCCCACCTACCCTATCATTCTGTGATAATTTATGCAGTTCTGCTTGGATGGCCTCAAGGGCTCTCCAGGCCATTCTGAGCCAGTGACTCTGTTGGTTACACTGTGTGGTTTTTTTTTTAGGAGTGCAGGGCGAGCCGCAGGCTTGATGGACACTAGCTGTGCCCCTGGTGGGAAGATAGCCTTCAGCCCACCATCCTCACTCAGTGTGCTGCATCTATTGTACCTGGAGCCTTCTGGTGCTTTGATCTCTCTGACCCAACCACACCCTAGCCTGCCTGTCATGAGGAAGTCTACGTCATCCTCAGTGCCCAAGACCTGCTAGGGGGTGGCGGGGGGTGGAAGGGGAGAACAGGTGGGCCAGCTTAGTCACTCATATCACCACTTGGCTCCTATGACTTCAACAAAGGCCACATCTGATCTTTTCTCCCTGTGCACATGATCCTGCAGGCATGACTTGCTCTGAAGTGTCTCACCCTTACCTCTGGAATTATAGGAAGAAACATTGATAGACCCCAGGTTGCCTTGGCAATAAGAATAAAAGTAAAAATGAGTCTGTCTAATTGAAGAGACTGAGTTTCTTAACACATTATATATGTATTTCTTTTATATCCTGGAGTGAGAATAGTAACGTTAGGACATCAGGGACAGGATTGAGCCTGGCTGTAGGGACACCAAGCCCAGCCAAGTTGTGAGGCTGGGTCTGATTTCTGGTGAATGCACAGTAGGTGCTGTGGTGAAGAATGTACCACTCTTACACTTTGGGGAGCGGGCACCAGCTAGAGCTCTGTTCTCACTCCTCTATCCACCTCCTGTAGTCTCCTCTGACTCTACTTCTCATTCTTCTGAGAGCAGCGAGAATTTCCTTGAAGAGCTTTCATCATAGAAGCCAAATGAGGATATGAGCTCCTGCCTGTCTATACAGGCACCTGTCATGAGCTGGTTATAATCCCTATTTCACTGTAGGACAAATTGAGGGCCAGGTTCCATGGCCCAACCCAGATCAGGTGGAGACGGGGTGACATCCAGGACCCTGACCCATGTTCAGTCAGAAGACTCAAATGTGGTATTCTTTGTCCTGACAACCTTGTTATTTCTGAGAGGGCACATGTTGATTCATAGAAGGTCTCCTGCCAGCCCCTATAGGAGACAGGCACTGGATGAAACAGGGTGACAAGTTCATCAGCAAGCTCTGGGAAAGGTGCTGTCCTCGCAGGAGGGCAATGGCTCTACGTGCCCAGGGGACCATGTGTGTGAGTGTGTGGGCAGAGGGAGAACCACTTACTGCCAAAGTCGATGCTTGGGTTCCAGTCCCAAACCCAAAGGCAATTGTGTTGGTGATTCTAGTAATTTCTGATGATCAATGAGTTGTATTTGTGTGAATGAGTTCACCCTGGAAAGCTAGCAGCAAGACGACAAATTCCATGGAAGTCAGCACCCAAGAGTCACGACGGAGCCTTGATAGACAAAGGTATTGTGATGGGGACACTTGGTGAGCTCTTGTGTGATGAGTTATGCTAAGTCTGGAAGGAAAGAAGTTGTGACACAAATGAGACAAAAATTTGGGGTAGGACTATAGGAAAACAATGAACAATTGTTCCAGCCTTCTCCCTGCTTGGCCAAGGGTCTGATGAATGACTGTGAGCCAGGGCCTCTAATATAATACAGAGGGTTATAGAACATAACTAAAGAGTTGAGTTGGGATAGTGGGAAGAAAGTCCCAAAGCAGTTTCCAAGGCTCAAGGAATGGAGGCTGGTGATACTGCTCAGTCACATTTTTTTTTTCTTCCGTCTTTATTTGAAGCTACAGGAATAAAAACAAACAAAAGAAACATAAGAAACCACATGGCCTCTGAAAGAGGAAGTCAGTGGAAAGATGATTTCAAGGGGATATTGTAGTGTGAATCCTGAGCCAGAGAATAAGAGAAGCTGCCAACCAACAGGCAGTGGGGACCCAGTGTCACTTAGTCTAAACCTCAGGGCTGTGCTGCTGTAATTCAAGGGGCTGGGAAACAAGCCCTTGGTCTAAGTCTCAGATCAACAGAAAAACAACTTTTCTTTTTTTCTTTTTTTGTTCATATAGTTTTTATTTATTTATTATTATTATTTTTTAATAAGTTTTTATTGTTCATATTATTACAAATGTTCCTTTCCCCCACCACCACCATTGCTCTCCTCCACCAGGTTCCCACCCCACCCTCTGCCCTTTCCCCACTCCCCATTGTCCTCATCCATAGGTGCACAGTTTATGTTCAGTCTCTTCCCACATCCCCCTCTCCCCTTTTCCCCAAGAATTGTCAGTTCACTCCCCTTCCATACCTTTGATTCTATTATATTCAACAGTTAATATTGTTCATCAGATTTTTTTTTTATTTCCTTGGTTTTTAGATTCACTTGTTGATAGTTACGTATTTGTTGTTCATAATTTTTATCTT